TCGCTAGAACATTGGTCCCGACTCAGTTCAGGTGGAGACCATCCCAACGGTTCACCTCCCCACCCCCATTTCAATACAGAAATAGAACCCCTCTTTCCCACACCACTCCTTTAGCCACATGTTTACTTTCCTTATTCTCGCATCCCTATACCAATTTGGACATGGCTTGGGTAGTAATCTGGTGATTATAACCCTTGAGGACCTGTTCTTTAATTTAGTTTCTAGTTGCTGATAATTCCCAACCAGGTCCTCATCCTGCCTGTTACCTTTGTTTGAAATCTGAAACAAAAAAATAAAAATTGCTGGAGAAACTTCACAGGTCCAGTAGCATCTGTGGGGAGAAAGTAGAGATAACCTGTTATTTTTGAATATTTTAGTTAATAAAACCCTTACATTGAAGATTAGAAATTTTAAGTGATTTAGGTGACTGCTGGAATAAAGATTTAGAAAGCATTTGAAAATAACTATGGGTGAGACAGCGACATTGCTGATTTGAAATGTTATTAAAAAACTGACATAAAATGTGTGACAGAAAATTGGACAACAAGGGCTCCACAGACATCGCTGGGAAGTGTGGGTACATCTAAGAGCTTTGTTAATTACAGACAATTAGACGGAGTGAGAGACAGAAATACATACAATACAGAGAAAGAAATGATCCCAGAGTTGTCAGGATGTGTGACTGTTTCATCACTGATACATTACGGGATGAACCACAAGCAACCGTGAGATGGCAGCAAAGTGAATTTGGGCAGTTTAGTTAAATCTTTGAAGCATTTGCCAATTCCTGTAGACTGCTTGCAGAACAAAATCCCTAACTAAGTCCAGTGAATTTTTTTCAAAACTGAAATGTTAACTCTGTTTGCATTCTCTGTAGATGCTATCAAACCTCATCAGGTGTTAGAACAGGGTTAAAGATCATGGCAGATTTCAAAGTACTAAGGTAATTTTCACTTAGTTTCTGGTGGCCAACTAAATGCATAGAATGTATTTCAACAATGCATAAAATTAAAGGCATTTTTTTGTGTTCTTCTGTGGGATGTGGGCGTCATTTATTGCCCATCCCTAGTTGTTCTTGGGAAGTTGGTGGTGAGCTGCCTTCTTGAACTGCTGCATTCCACCTGCTGTGGGTTGACCCACAATGCTATTAGGGAGGGAATTTTTGACCCAGCGACAGTGAAGGGATGGTGATATATTCCCATGTCAGGCTGATTAGTGGCTTGGAGGGGACTTGAAAGCGGTGGTGTTCCCATGCATCTGTTGCCCTTGACATTCTAGATGGAAGTGGTCGTGGGTTTGGAAGGTGCTGTTTGAGGATCTTTGGTGAATTTCTACAGTGCATCTTGTAGTTAGTACAACAATGCAGTGCCAGTCGAGCGGATTGCTTTGTTCTGGATGGTTTCAAGTTTTTTTGAAGCTGTTGGAGCTGTACCTATCCAGGCAAAACGCTCCTGACTTGTGCTTTGTAGATGATGGACAAGCTTTCCCGAGTCAGGAGGCAGGTTACTTGCTGCAATATTTCTAGCCTCTGATCTGCTCTTGTAGCCACTATGTTTACATGGTGAGTCCAGTTGAGTTTCTGGTCAATGATAACCGCCACAATGTTGATAGCAGGGGATTCAGTAATGGTAACACCACTGAATGTCAAGGGGCGGTGGTTAGATTGTCTCTTATTGGTGATGGTCTTAACTTGGCATTTGTGTGGCTTGAATGTTACTTGTCACTTGTCAGCCCAAGCTTGGATATTATCCAGATCTTGTTGCATTCGAACACGGACTGCTTCAGTACCTGAGGAGTTGCGAATGATACTGAATACTGTGTAATCATCGGTAACATCCCCACCTCTGACCTTATGACGGAGGGAAGGTCATTGATGAAGCAGCTGAAAATGGTTGGGCCGAGGACACTACCCTGAGGAACTCCTGCAGAGATATCCTGGAGCTGGGATGATTGACCGCCAACAACCACGACCATCTTTCTACGTGTCAGGTATGACTCTAACCACTGGAGAGTTTGCCCCTTGATACCCATTGATTCCAGTTTTGCTAGGGCTCCTTGATGCCACACTCAGTCAAGTGCAGCCTTAACGTCAAGGGCTGTCACTCTCACCTCCACACTGAAATTCAGCTCTTCTATCCATGTTTGCACCAAAGCTGTGATGAGCCTTCAGGAGCCGAATGACCCTGGCGGAAGCCAAACTGGGCATCACTGAGCAGGTGCTGCTTGATGATGACACCTTCCATCACTTTATTGATGATTGAGAATTTAGTATAACATAATTATAAGCTAATGGGTAAATGAAATAGAAAAATATAATTTCATTGCAAATTAATCCAAATACAAAAGTAATCCAGCTCAGTTAGGGATTTTGTTCTCTAAGCAGTCTACAGGATTTGACAAATGCTTTGAAGATTTAATTAAACAGCCCAAATACACTTTGCTGCCATCTCGCAGTTGCATGTGGTCCATCCCATAATGCATCAGTAATGAAGCAGTCACACATCACCAACAACTCAGGACTCATTTCTTTTTGGGTATTATGTGTATTTCTTGCTCTCTCTCCTCTAATTATCTGTGATTAAAGAAAAAACTCTTAGACCTACCCACACTTCCCATCGGTGTCTCCAGACTCCTGTTGCCTGATTTTCCACCACACATTTTGTGTCAGTTTTGTTAATCACAAATTTTTATGCTAAAATTTCAAATCAGCAATGTAGCTGCCACACCATAGTTCATTTCAAATGCTTTCTAAATCTTTATTCCAGCAGTCACCTAAATCACTTAAAATTTCTAATCTTCAATGTAAGGGTTTTATTAACTAAAATATTCAAAAATAATAGGTTTCATACTACACAACTACATGTATCCATTAATACACCCTTTATATTATTTAATGCCTTCATGATGAATCCAGGACTGGTCAGGAATTAATATTTTCAGCCAGAGTTGCGAGATGAATTTCGACTGTACTATGTGAACATCGGTTGTGTCTATTTGCCTGCATTATAGCTGTTCAAACACCTATACTGGGGAATATTTTATTTTCAACTTTCAGCAAAAATTCTGTAAGTTATTTCCAAAATTATTTGAGAAAATGTTAAAGTAAATTCAAAAGTACTGCAGGGGTGAAACTCACATTGAGTGTTATGTATATGTACGCAGGTAAGAGAAAAATAAATGTGAGCTCATTACACACAAGTTGTAGCCTTTGTCTTGTGTCCCAGTGCATGACAGTCAATTTCATCAACTTGTACAGACATTACCTCTGTGGTAAAAGAGCCTTTATTTGAATGATATAAAATGGAAGGATAAACTTAAAATGAGACTGTATCCTATGGTCCAATTGCTCCCTTTTCGATATCAGCAATGACTTCGTTGGTTGCATGCTTGCTTCTGAATAACAAATTGGGGGCTCAATTATCAACGCTTGAGAACAAAAATCAAAGGTGACATTCCAGTGCTGTATTGAGGGAGTCTTGTGCTATGAAAATACTTTTGGCTAAGACATTAAACTGAACTGCCATCAGCCTGAGTGGAGGGAAAAGATGTCACTATTTTGAAGGGAACGGAAGTAATCCTCTATAATTGGGTCAATATTTGTTCTTCAGTCAATATCACATTGCTGTCTGTGGGACTGTATGGTGCACAAATTGGCTGTTGCATTTCCTACATTACAATAGTACTTAACAAATTGCAAAGTGCTTCAAGTCATTCAAATGGACATGGAAAGCGCTACACAAATGTAAGTCTTTCCTTCCCACACTAACTCTTGCTTCACCTGGAGACTACACTTACTCTTGTGTGTAACGTCACAGAAATTTACACAGAATTTCTATCAGTTCTCTTTAGCACAGAGCTGTGAAACCATGATAAAATGATACAAACACTTCTACCAAACTGTGGCAGAACGATGCAGATACAACAAGCAATTAGGGGAAATAAATGTCATGTTGGCCTTTATTGCAAAGAGATTGGAGAACACGAATAAAGAAGCCTTGTTATAATTGTAGAATGGTTTATAGAGACCATACTTGGGGGTACCAAGTAGAATTTTGGTCTCCATGCTATAGGAAGCATATACTGATATTTGAGGCGATACAATGGAGATTCCCTAGATTGGTCCCTGGGACAACAGCTTTATCTTATAATGAGTGGCTGAATAGCTTGGGCTAGATTCTGCAGTGGTTTTACATGTTCACTAGATGAGGCTGAATTCTCTAATTGGAGGATCTACTACACCAGGACAGGTCCTCAAGATAACGGGTCTGAGAGGAGAAGAAACTCCTTCATTTAGATGGCTGTGAATCTTTGGAATTTGATACCCAGAGAGTTGTGCATGTTCCATTCTTGAATAGGTTTATAAAGTATTTGTAAGCACCAACAATTCACTGATCATTGGAAATGCACACACACACCTCCAATTCTGCTCATTCTGCGTACATCGATTTTAAAAAAAAATTAATACAAATCTACTTTGCCTGGCGCTTTCTTGCATTTACAATACATTTTGTATTCAATTTTTTTTATTTCTATGTGTTTACTAGCTTTGGACTTCCTTTTTTCAAATACATCAAGGGTGTCAGTAGTTGTAACCACATAGTTTTGGCCAAGGTAGACAGATTACTCTCCTCTCACAATTAAGGGCTCTGGGGACCATGCGAGGAAATGGAGTTGAGCCAAAAGATCGGCCATAATATACTGAATGGTAGAGCAGGCTCACGAAGTTACACAGTCTACTCCTGCCCCTATTTTTAATATTACTGTGCTCTTAACAGTAGGTTGACTCACATGAAGATATATTCTCGTTACATATTATTTGCTTCTGGATAGTTCTGGTGGTATATTACCTTAAGATTAGTTAGTAGATATAGTACAATAGATGAAGAGATTCGATTTTACCATTTAAAGTCTCAACTGTATATATGAACCAGCTTATTAAAATTGCCTGTGATATTCAATACTCCACATACAAAAAGATTAATTCTGGACAATCCACTGACCTGCAAGACTTCATCCAGTCTGTTGATATTGCAGGTCTCTCCCAGGGCTGCTTGTATGGTGTGTTTTATAACATGACCCATATTCACATTGAATATCTCATTTGGATTCATCGAATGGATCTCATTGTAAAGAGCATTGCAGACCTCTTCAGACAGAAGATCAGGATCAGCAAATACGAAAACACTGAAAAACAAATAATTCCCTTATCAAATAATTTAAAACTTCTTTGGACAGGCATGGCTTATTCTTAAAGGCACGATGTCACGTGAATTTTGCTCAAATTTCTAAAGTAGTGTACTCATGAGAAACACCTCACTCCAAATAAAGTAATAAATGTAATCATCATATTTTACATCTCATATTTCTCTAGAGTTAAACTAATGAGGTTGAACTCCATTTTCAGCCCACGTCCATTGAAGACTTTCTCCTATTCTGAAGAGTGCAACTACACCTTTGCAGTCCTATTAAATTGAGCAAAAAATCTTGGCTTCAAATAGATAATGGGCAAAAAAAAGTTCAAAAATATCTGTTGCTTGGGTGTCACAAGAGCCATTAGATATCAAAAACATGCCAAGTGAACACATTTTTGATTTGCAGTGCACCACTACCCAATTTAACACAATTTCACTCTCAGTTTGATTTTTCCTTTTTCTCATATGCTTACTTGCCTTACCCTATTTTATGGTTGCTGCTGCTTTCGGTGCATCTTTAGTCCTTACAGTACTCAAGTAAACCAGTTTCAAATAATACTGTCATTTGCCATACACGCCCACCTCCTTAGAAACAAGTGTCCCTAAAAAAAAGTCTGACACTAACTGCTTCTTTTCTAGGATTTCAAAACTTTGAAAGTGCTATTATTGTTTAGATTTTTCCTTGTTCCTAAAATTTTTTAAAGCATCATACTAGTATCACCTAATAATTTTCTAATCTAACTCATTTCTTTTACCATTTCAACATTGCTGCTATCCTGCATATCTTTACCCTTCCACAAAATAAGTTGGGTAATGTCACAAGTCTGACATGTTTTTAAAAGGTTACACAAGAACCATTACCAAGATGTAAAAAACACAACTAACCATCACGAAAATGCAACCAAGTTAAAACAATTCTTAAAACATATAAAAAAAAAGTCCATGGAAGTGGAAAGCTGAGGTTGCATATAATGATTTGGAGTTTACAATGTAAACTGAAGCAACATGGGATTTCACTTCTGACGTGAAAATTAGAGCAATTTTTAGTGTAAAAAATGATTAAATTCTACAGTGCATTTTATTTAAAGGCAAATACAGACATTAGGCAGCCATAATATCACTGCAAACAATCATATTAACATTTACTGGATAGAGAAATGTGCAATTGCCAGAATTACTACCCCAAGATACTGAAGGGTTAACTTGGACTAAAGACACTGATGACTGTTAAAGAAACACGCCCAGGCGAGGGGGCAATTTTGCTCTTCTTTGCATCAAGAGAATGAAAATATTTCGATAGAAAGTGTTTGTAGAGGCCAAAAATGTACAAATAGCGCAAGTAAACATCACTGTCTGAATTGTCAGAAAATGATCAAATGGGAGGTTTTTTGGAATTAGGGAACAGAAACAGAAAAGGAAGATAGAAAAGAAGAACCTAAACCAAACCAAAAAGTCCACTCAGATACATAAAAACCACTCAATCCACAGTTAATATGCAATTATTACATGGTAGACCTGCATGACATATACACTACTTGTGAAGTCCCAACTTTGGGGAACATTAATTTCCTTCCTCTTTCTTCCCCAAGAATAGATTCATAGAATTCCCAGTGTGGAAACAGGCCATTCAGTCCAACAAGTCTACACAGGCCTTTTGAAGACCATCTCACCCAGACCCATCCCCTAACCCTATCCCTGTGTTTCCCATAGCTAACACTCCTAACCTACACATCCCTGAACAGCATGGCCAATCCACCCAACCTGCACATCTTTGGCCAGTGGCAAGAAACTGGAGCACCTGGAGTAAACCCACGCAGACACAGGGAGATTGTGCAAACTCCACACAGACAGTCACCCGAGGCTGGAATCGAACCTGGGTCCCTGGTCCAGGTGAGGCAGCAGTGCTAACCACTGAGCCACCGTGCCACCCCAATAACTCAATTTCATTCAGTACAGCTCAGTCAAATTTCTCAGTTGACTCCTTCCTACTAAGAAATGCCATCTGATTGCAACTCAATGCCACTTGTTTGACATCAATTCCGAAATCCATATCCTTAGGAGAAAATAATTCTTTCTAATCTAAACACCATGGACAAGATAGATCTTTCAGAGGCAGAAGCAATAGGTACTTTCAAAAAAACTGAAGGAAGAGAGAAACTGATGTAAAAACTACTGGATTTTGAAGTGAATTAGCAATGAATAAGAATGGCCAGAAAAGGGAAAGCCCAGAACATTACTAAGATAATTTCAGCTGGTGTTGTACAGTTTGATAAATTAAATTCGTACTTGTATTTCATTTACACATTGCTCCTGTGTAACAGTACAGTACAGTACAATACCTGGAGAAGTGGGTGGAAAATTGTAATGGAAATCTATAGAGGAATATAAATAGTAACTTTAGCTTGAACATGTTGTCAGACTGAGGTCACTGCTAGGCATATGTCAGAGGGCTCACGTGGTCTTGTGGCTTTTTTTGAAAAACAGCACATCTTCAAAGTGGAGTATCTGATGAAGATGCTCGTAAATTGGAAACGGCTACTAAAAGGGGGAGGACTAAATGCACAGAGCTCGAATGGAACTAATTTGCGTCTCTAGACAAATACAGCAGACGGAAAGTCTGCTTGCTGGCCACAGGAGGAATCCGCACAAAGGTGAGGTGTCTCAGGTGTCACATAGAAGGAAGTGGCTGGGCATTAACTGCCATCCCTCCTCCCACACCCCCGATGACTGCAGATTATTAACAGTAAAAATTCAACCATCTCACAAAAGCAGACAATTTAAACCCTATGGAAGCTCTATCCTACATCACCCCACCTCCACCCACCCACCCCCAACTCCTTGGTCATCAGCTCCAAGTTCACACTTGAATTAGTGGAACCAAAAAGTCTTCATACTGCACTTTGCTTAAGGGCAGGTACCAATATAGAATTTTAAAACATGATTACTATTGGTAAAATTGCAATGTATGTTCAGGCAGAACCATAAAATACTAATTTAAGAGTGTGACATCACCAAAACTAAAACATCAGCCATCCCCAACTTTAACATTGTCACTGCAGGAGGGCAGAGACACTGAACCAACACTTTAGAAAGATGTGAGGAAAAACTGGTTTGCACAATTGTTGATACAACAAGGTGTAGAGCTGGATGAACACAGCAGGCCAAGCAGCATCAGAGGAGCAGGAAAGCCGACGTTTCGGGCCTAGACCCTTCTTCAGAAAGTTGCACAATTGTTATTTAGTTTCACCTTCACAATCCTGCCGCCCTGAGTCTCCAGCACTGGTCTGATAACAATATTCCCAGCATGGGTCATAGAGGCAGCCTCTTAAATGACCAAACACTGGAAATACAGGCTCTGTGTGTCAAATTATTGCCAATTATTCAATGGTCTGTTTTATCCAGTTATTGTCTATTTACCGTTCCCAGTGTGGAGATGTGTCATTTTTCATTCCATGTTCAGAAATAATTAATCTTTGGTATAATATACCTGTAAAAATAATAGGCTTTAATTAGATATCACTTTAAAATTAAGAGTTATTGTTGCATATCTGTAAGAACTATAAAATGATTTTACACAAATGAACTCCTCGACTGAACATCATATGTACAACTGATATTGAAGTATTTACTTTGAGAAATAACAAAATCAAATTATATTCATTCATGAGAAAACACATTTGATAGAACCAAATTACTAGTAGCCAGGAGGCTCATAATAAATATTTTTAAGATTGGACATGATTGAATACAATTTGCGCCATTATTCAGTCTCCCTGCTGGATGAGAAGTTGTCATAATCACAGAGAGGACCATAGGCTGCTCTCTCATTAGGTAGAGTTTAGGAGAGAAGTAGGCAATGTGAGGACCCTGTGACAGGCAGTCAGCATCACTAAGGGAAGTGGCACCTTTGTGTGTGGCTGCATCAAGCTGTGCGTTGACCATTGGAACACAAACACCAAGTGTCGCTATGTACTGAGGTATTACCTGTCTCCAGAGTCATGAAGGATAGATGTGGCCATATTGCTGTGAATATTACTCCAAGTAGTTGGACTATACCATGCCACCTGTCCCTCTTGAAAAAATTTGCAAAGGAAAACACCTTTGACTACAAGTCCATCAGGCAGTGGTCAGCATGTAACATCCTTAAGGCCCTGTGGTGAAAAGAGAGGGTGGATCCTGTTGGGTGGGCAGGACGCCTCATCACCAGAACTTTTGAACAAGCACCGCGATGTAGCTAAGCTGGTGGTGGAAGAACACTATCCGTCAGATCCTTCATGCATGCCCAGGCTCTCTCTGCTACCTCACAGTGCCCTTGACATGGCTGCAGAGGAGAAGACACCGTCACACATCTCTTTCTGGAAAGAAGGCCTAGAGAGAGATGCAGCGGTTTTTGTGGAGGTTCATCCCGAGCAGCTCTGTGATGCAAGGCTGTGCTGTACGGTCTGTTCCCTGGGACGCACACCGAGAGAAACATTGACTGCGCCTGAAGGACCATCAACTCAGTGAAAGACCTTCTTTGGTCTACCCGAAACTTGTCGGTCTTCTAAGAAAAGAGTTGACCTCGACCGAGTGTTGCAGGTTGGCACATTCCAAGTTCGAGGACTACGTACTGTGGGCCGCACTAAAGCTTGGGGCAGTTACTGCCAAGGTGCAGTGAGAAAAGACCTCCATTGTAAAGGTCATTCTGCCAAAATACAAAAGGCTCTGTTAAGTTTCAAGGTACTCTCATAGACCAAATGGGAATGTAAATAATTTCATTTCATGTTTTTAAATTGGCTTTTTTGGTGTAACTGGATTGAAGCTCAAGTGAGGAATGTCAAAATTCTGTGTTTTCTTGGACTTTTTGTCTTTACTTATAGATATTTTATGAATAATGCACATGTCTTTTAAAAAAAAAAATTCACTTAAGTGGAGCAGGTAGGATGAGCGAACAGTGACAGACAGTCAGCGCCACGGAAAGGAGAAGGGGAAGTGAGGACCCTGTGACAGGCCATGTCACCAAGAGGATTCTGCAGGAGCATATAGTGTGCAGGGGTAACTTAAAAAGGAAATTAGGAGAGCAAAACAGTGCATAAGAAAGCAATTAGTGGGTACAATAAAGGAAACCCCAATGTTTTTAGAAATATAAAAAGAGAATAAATAGGGAAAGACTAGGGTCCACAGAAGTAATGTGTGTGTGGATTCAAATCACATGGGTATAGTCCCCAGTGAATACTTGGGGTCAGTCTTCACAATGGAAAAGGATGACACAGGTGTAAGACCTCAGAGTAGGGGACCAAGTATTAGAAGAAATAAAAGGGCGGGCGGGTGTGGTACAACTGGGTTTAGCAGCCTTAAAGTAGAACTATTCTGTATCACTTGTCCTTCATCAAGAAATCTGCAAAGGAAAACATCTTTGACCACCAGTCCATCAGGAAGTGGTCAGCACCCAGCATCCTTGAAACCCCGAGGGTAAAGGAGAGGGTGGATCTTGTCACGTGGTTCCCTGTGCAGACTATCAAAGTCATTTGGCAGAATGCCTCATCACCAGAACTTTCTAACAAGCACCAAGACATTGCTTGGCTGGAGGTGAGAAAGACACGACCTGCGAGATCCTTTATGTAGGCCCAGTTGGTCTGTGCCACTGCACACTGCCCTCAAAGTGGCTGCAGAGGGCTTGAGACTGTCACACATCTCCTTCTGGAATGTGCCTTTGCAAAGGAAGTCTGCAGGAAGATGCAGTCGTGTGTGCTGAGGTTCGTCCAGAGCAGCTCCATGTCACGGAACTCCACGCTCTATAGTCTGTTCCTGGAAGGACCATCACCTCGGTGAAAGACACTCTTTGGTCTGCCTGAAACTTGTTGGTCTTCCAGAAAAAGGAGTTGAACCTGACTGAATGTGGCACATTCCAAAGTCCAGGACTATGTGCTGAGGGATGCACTAAAGTTTGGGGCAGCTGCCACCAAGGCATAATTGGGAAAGACCACCATCTGGGTCTTCCTGCTGAAGGTAAATGGGGGTAAATTCAGTTATCAGACCCTGCTGGTGTCTCAAATATATATAAATATTAGTATTGTACGTGCAAGAGAGGTTTTTTTTGAGATAGAGTCAAAGTTCAAAGTTTTTGTTTATTTATCTGATATGCAACTGTACGGAACTGAACTGCTTTTGTGACAATGTGTATACACACAAAGATTTTTTATGAATAAAATATATTTTTGAAATTAAAAACTTTTACTTAAAAAGTTAAAGTAGATACATCCACAGGTCCGGATGAGACATGTCCCAGGCTGTTGAGGGGGGCAAGGCAGCAGAGGCTTATGATAGAGGGATGCTTCTGAGATTGGATGTCTGTTCTCTGTGGGGCTCCACAGGGCACAGTGCTGGGCCCCTTGCTGCTTATGATGTACATTCATAATTTGGACTTAAATGTGACAGATTTCATCAAAGAGGCTCATGGATGACATGAAAATTGGTAGGGTGATAAATTGTGAAGAGAATAAACTGCAGGAGGGTAGCAATAGACTGGTCAGGTGGGTAGAGCAGTGGCTAATGGAATTCAACCTGACAATGTATAAAAGGTCATGCATTGTATTCCACCTTCCAACACCCAGCTACTGGTTACACCTATACTTGTACATTCAGAAGTGATATTAAAAGGCATTGATAATAATAATTGCATCCTACAGATTTTAAGAACCTCATCCAGAGAATACAGCATGTGCACATACCTGGTGCCTTTCTTTCAGCTTTTAACATAACCGCATATTCATGTGCAATGGTGCAGTAGGGTTTGGTGAAGGATAGCAGCCCTTTGCAAAATTTATATGCTTTTTCGTGAAGATCATCAGGAATATATGCAGCCTGGAAAGATGGTTAACAGCCAGTAGAACATTTAGAAATTTTGTGTTAATTAAACAGCATTATTTGCTGAGAACTAACTTGGCAAACTCATCAACCAAAACGTTGGCAGTTAAGCATGACCGCAGAAAACACAAATTTGAGATGCAAAAACTAAAATGATAAATTCCAAAAATGCATGAAATTAGCACAAGATGGTTTTGATGTGGTGTGGATTGAAATAGACACATTAGACTTACTTTCTGTCAATGACTTGGGCTTTACTTAAGAGTCGTACAGTTGTACAGCACAGAAACAGACCCTTCAGTCCAACTCATCTAATGCTAACTAGATATCCCAAATTAATCTGGTCCCATTTGCTAGCATTTGGCCTATATCCTTCTAAACTCTTCCTATTCATCTACCTAGCCAGATGCCTTTTAAATGTTGTAATTGTACCAGCTTCCACCACTTCTTCTGATAGCTTATTCCAAACATGCACCACCCTCTGCCCTCTAGTTTTGAACACCCCTATCCTGGGGAAAAGACCTTGGCTATTCACCCTGTCCATGCCCCTCATGATTTCATAAACTTCTATAAAGGTCACCCCTCAGCCTCCGATGCTCCAGGGAAAATAGCCCCAGTCTCTTCGGCCTGTCCCTACAGCCTAAACCCTCCAACCTCGGCAACATCCTTGCAATTCTTTTCTGAACCCTTTCAAGTTTCACAATGTCCTTCCTATAGCAGGGAGACCAGAACTGCACACAGTATTCCGATACTGGCCTAACCCATGTCCTGCACAGCTGCAACATGACATCCCAACTCCTATATTCCATGCACCAACCCATGAAGGCGAGCATACCAAACACCTTCTTCACTACCTGGTCTACCTGCGACCTCACCTTCAAGGAACTATGAATCTGCGCCCCAGGGTCTCTTTGTTCAGCAGTACTCCCCAGGACCTCACCATTAACTGTAAAAATTCTGTTGTTCCCTCAGTCTTAAAATAGACTTCATATTCCTGACTGCAGCAGGATTTCTACACTAAGCTCACTTATAATATTTCAGATAAAATTAAAGATTATTCAATGAAGTCAAAGGATTGAGAAATGTAATGTTGAAGATACAGTCTTTCAATTAAGATGTCCCTGTGGCTGTTTGCCTGCTTAGGCGATGTTAAAGATTCTTCAGCATTATTCAGAAAGGAACACAGGGATTGTCATGGTGTCCCAACTAATATACATCCCTCCATTAACACATTAATTAATTGGTCAATTATCTCATTCTACACCTGGACATTGCTGTGGGCAAATTGGACGCTATGCTAGTCTCCATTAGAACAGTGTTGCCACTTCAAGTAATTTATTGGTTGTAAAGCACTTAGGTAATACTGTAAGTGCAAGGGTTGCTGTGTAAATGTAAGTTTCTTTTTTATCTTAATGAAACTGTAACAAATACTCATTTGGTATTATAGAATCTGAGTATTGCTGATGTACATCACAATTTTTAAAAACAGAAAGAACTGCAGATGCTGTAAATCAGGAACAAAAACAGAAGTTGCTGGAAAAGCTCAGCAGGTCTGGCAGCATCTGTGAAGGGAAAAACAGAGTTAACGTTTCGGGTCCGGCGTTCTGAGGAAGGGTCATCGGACCCGAAACGTTAACTCTGTTTTTCTCCATGACAATTTTTAATGCACTTTTATCTTATTTCCCTGGCTGTTATGTTGAAAGAAAACCACACATTGTGAAAACTCTTTGTATCTCTGCTGATAAAATAAACAAAACTACATCAGATACCTAGATCATAGCTCTAAGTTTTGCAACATAACAAAAATGAATACAATTATAGGCAACGCTTAAAGTAGGCTTGACAGTTTTAAAAAACAAGGCTAATTACTTCCTGTTATCCGAAACAAAAACAGAAATCTCTCCCTGGATGCTGCCAAACCGGCCGAGTTTCTCCAGCAATTTCTGTTTTTGTTGCAGATTTTCAGCACCAACAGTTCTTTGTATTTTTTGTTTATTCCACTTCCTGCTATGTTGCTCAATGTTTTCAAACGTATGAACAAAGGAACAAAGTAGGTCAGTCAGCCCTTTGAGCCTGCTCCAGCATTTAATAAGATCATAACTGATCAGGATTTTAACCTCAACTCCACATTCCTGCATTCTCCCAATAATCTTTCATCCCTTTGGTAATTATTAACCTACCTACCACTGCCTTAAAAATATTTAAAGATTCTGCATTCACTGCCTTTTGAGGAAATGAATTCCAAAAAGAAAAAAATCCTCATCTTTATTCTTAAATGGGCATCCCCTTATTTTTAAATTATGATTCTTGGTTCTAGGTTCTCCTACAAGAGTGAACATGCTCGCCACATCGACCTGGTCAAGACCCCTCAGGACTCTTCTAGACTCCAGAGGATAATGCCTAGCCTGTCCAACCTTTCCTCATAAGGAAATATGCTTATTCCAGGTATTAGTTCAGGTTTTCAGGAATCATCCGGTGACTATGGAGAGCAGATATGCAAGTATTCCACGATAGAAGCGAATGTTTGATGGAGTATGATAACATCTCCACCATTACTTTACTGACTGGATATTGGGTTGCTGGCAGCTAAGATATTCTTCTTTCAGCCATTATGAGGAGTTAGACCAGCCTGGTGATGATTCTGCCTCCAACTGTCCCTCCTTCTCAGAGTGCAACCCAACAACAGGAACTTGTTACACTGTACATTAAAATATCATGTTCAATCGCCAAAAGCAAAAGCTTCTATAATCAAGAAAACGGTTTGTGAAGAACTACATGTACATGCATCTCAAACAGAAATATTTGGATTCACTGTGCACAATAAACAAACTCCAAGGAGCGACATTTGTGATGGTCAACTGACAAACTGCTGAAGCTGTGTTTTGAGCAGTCTTTGCCCTTAATTGCTTCATAAATCTGTAGAAGAAAGACTTTCAAACAAGATTGGAGGGTTAAGTTTAGCTCATACTATAACAACGAACATTGAAGTCCCACTAATAATTCAAATAGGCTCATTTTAATTCTTATGCGAAGTAATATTTTTAAAAACTACACAGTCAGCCGGCTTTATATTGTAGTATAAGTCAAATACCAGGATTAAGTCTGCACCCACCTGAATAATTGTGTACATTAAGATGTTTAGCAAAGGTAGAATGTAGTGCTTATTGTCTTTCTTTGCCTGTTGAAACAAAATCCAGTCACTGAGTGATTCAAAACTTAATACTTCAAGATTTAGGCCATTAACAAATTAAATGTCGCTCATATTTTCTAATTGACCAATTATGAGTTTTCTAGATCTGTGTGGGATATGGAGCGGTGTATTCAAAAGGAAGGAGGACATTGACAGCAAATGAAAGGGTTCTACATTTGTAGTACATAGGATCAACATCGTTACTCTCATGGTCAAATATGTGCGGAGGTTTATTGCTCCTAGATTTCCCCCTTAAAAAGTATCTTAATCCCAAACTTGGAGATTGTGGAGTTGGGATCATTTGCTCTTTTTACTATTGATAGCAACATCATAATCATATCTACAAAAGAGTATATCAATGATTTTGCTACAATAAGAGGGCACTTAGCCTCCAACAGAAGAAAATTTCTTAATCTCCCACTTTGGCTTTGTCATTTCTCACAGCTCATCTCTTTTCGGGCAGGCTGGCAATTTAAATCCTTTTTGTTTTTGGTGCTGCATTGAGGCACTGGACCATCATGCTAATTTCATTGAGTCTGATCAATGTTCAAATACCAAAGATCATAAATTCAGCAACAATGCTGGGAACCAGACTGATCAAACCTTACTTCAGGCAATGGTCTGACTTGAGAGTTTAGGTAAAAGTAAACCTGCCAAAGTCCTACTGGACCACAGGCTGCTCTCTCATTAAAGAGGCGACCGGTGCTGGTTTAACTGAGGGTCACCAGTGGAGAAACAAGAGGTTGAGAAGGAGAGTAATAATTTACCATTTCACGGTAACCTCAGCTGGTACAGGAATTGAACCAATGCTTTTTGTTTACAATATATATCAGTGATGTCTAATAGACGTAAAAAAGTGTGGGCCACTAAAAATTTCAGAACCAACAACTTCACAATGTTGTTGCCACGTTCAACGACATTGCATACTGCAGGTGTAGCTTGCATCCATGCAAGATTGAGGTTTGAATGATTTGTATCCACGGAACACCAGGGTTTCCCAGTTTATCACCATCATTGGAAAATCAGATGTTTTCTTTAAAATAATTTCTCACCAGTTCCAGTTCACTTATGAGACTTTTAACTAGAAAAATGCTGTTGTATGGGTCTCGTTCAGACTTCTTATGTAATGTCCATCTAAACATTCCTATGGTAAAAAATAAACACAAAGGCTTTATTATTAATAATTCAAATGAACGTATTTATGCCTCAAAATGCAGGGCCAAATTTCTGTCAATGAGAAAGTAAAATGGTTCTAAATAAGCCAAGGAAACATTCAGGGGCCCTGAAGGAAAATCTGAAATATAGGATTTTTCAAAATGGAAATTTAAAATTTCAAGTCATTTCAACAATATTCATGCACATTAGGCAAACAGAAATGCATGTAGGAACATGTGATCATTGAACACCTTCAATGGTGACTTACAACAATATCAAAGGTTTTTAAATCAATAGCAAATACACTGCGCGTCTCAATGAATTAAAAGCCAAAATAACAAATAAAATGTACAGAATCAGAAGCAACTGTTTCTGTTGTGTCTAAAATTCTGGATTTAATTTTGTACATATTTTGAATCAGGGTAATTGCAAGACATTTGCATACATGGCTTGTTAGCATCAGGTGTATCCATCTTAATAAACAGAGATACACTTACAGACAGGAATCAGTAAGTGGACATAAAAGAGAGGGAACATTAGGCTACACTGTAACTGTGCATGCAACAAATGCTCGCGGGTGTTACCTTGATCTTTTACACTGAGTGTTGCCATATACCTGATAACATACATCTCTGCACATAAATATAAAAGAAATTCCACGCTAAAAACTTATCTGGCTTCGAAAGTGGTTATTCATCTTCTGTGAAAGTTTTAATGGTTTAAATAAGGATCAGGAATTCGTTTTGACATCCGTGCAGAGTACTGAATGGTTCCAGCAGCATTCACCATTGTTTAGCACAAACACACAATTTGACACTCTGATACCTGACCCATTTATCTCTTCACCTACTTACTTGCTACCCCAGCTCCTCATGCATCCGACTCCCTATCCTGACCCACTTTCCTGCCATCGCTCACCCAGCCACCTGCCACCCTACATTGTCACTCACTTACCTGGTAACCTAGCCCCTCACCTACTTTCCTGGTATCCTAACCCCCATTTCCCCAATTATTTGCCATCTTACCATATCATCCATTTATCTCCTCTCCTTGTTAAAGTTACTATGTGATCTTAAAACCTCCAGAATTTTGCAACTACTGCTGTAAACAGGGGTCATGGATTCTCTTCCAGCATGGATCCTGCATTGCACTGGAAGGCAGCCAAATCAAAAAGGCCCAAATTGGAAGTTCAAGCCAGAAAAGTGAAGCTCCGGATCAGCTAAGTGAAAAAAAAAGCACCTGACTGTGATTGCCACTCCTTGGAAGATTCAGCCATTATTGTTAAATGAAGAAAAGCCCAATGATAAGCTTGTCAACCAAATATCAGTTATTGCGTTATATTTTCGATTGGCTAATTAACCAGCAATCCAAGAGATTGGATCTAAGCAACTGTTATTTAAACAGTGATCTTGAAGGACCTGCCTTGACATCACAGATCCCCTACCTCGGCTACTTGGGCTTCCTGGGGGTCTTTGGTCCAGTTCCCGTACAATGGCCTTTAAACTGCGCTGAATGTCAGCCTCGGCATTTGTTGCTAAACTGGGGCCTCCAGCTAAAAACAAAATCAAAATAAAGCATATTTCACCAAGACATATCACAAACACTGACTCTCAGAGTCTCCAATCCCATTGGTCTTAAGAAAGAGTCTGATTGAATATTTTCTCACAGGCTGATTTATCCCGACATTTTCTCAAAGGGGATCTGGAGCAGCAGATGGTTAATGAACAAGAAAACAATGAAGACGGGCAAATAGTGAAGCAGAGAAAATTGGGGATAAAAAGAAGAAAATGCAAAGGAAACAGTAAAGAGAAAGAGCAGAAGAGAAACACAAAAGCCAAAAGCAAAGCCACAAGTGAAACAAATTGGTTGCAGAAGAGTGAAGAGTAAAATTGAGAAAAACTCAAAATTTTAGGAGTAAAAAGAAATATGAGCAAAATTACAAATAAAGAAATAGGGCTGGATTTTCAAATTTGGGATCAAGAGTAAGTGTAGGCATTAATTAAAGATCACAGTCCCAGACTGCATCTGACAATTCTGGAACACACTCCAATTTTCAGAGAGAGCTGGAGGAGGGGAACACATCCATCTCTAACTAACTCCAGCTTAAATTCTCTGAGGAGTTATTTAATGAAATAGGGAGGTAAGGAGTAGAATTTTCAAAAGTAAATTTGGTAAATTTGAACAGTCTGATGCACATTAATATACAGCCGTTTGATTCAGAGTAGAACAAAGGAAATTTTTTTATGAATAGAAATGTTGGGGTATCTTCCACCAGATGGTGTGCATTATCTTGGATTTGCTTGTTAGATGCTTTCTAAAGTATTTACACTGCTGTGCCTACAAGGTACTGCCTGGTCTTTGTGACAAGGCAGGGGCAAGACCCAGCATGTTGCAGTGTGCTGTTTCCACTTGCAATACGTTGCCAGCTCCTGGTAACACTGGGCACTGTTACCTGGCCCAGCTCATCACCTACCCGAACTAGGCACTTCAGTTGATGTACGGGGTCAGGACTCTGAAGTTATGCAGGTATCAGGTTCCCAAACCACTCTGGAAACCAGTCACCAGAGTTAGTTTCTGAATGAATCTTGGTATGTTCATACTGCTCCAAATACATCGCAGAGCAAACAAAGGAAGTAGCTTGAGGATGTGAGAGTTTTGTCATTTGCACTGATTTTTCTTTGATTATATAATTCACAAGCAGTTCTCATGCTAGTTCGAAGTTATGAGCCCCCGCATTCTGGAACACTCTGTCACTGAAAATACCACAATGAGATAAGAAAGGAAGCCAGGCTGAAAAGTTACCCATTTATGTAATCTAATGGATCTTTTCATAAAAAAATGAAGTAATAGTGAGGCAAACATTTTTCTATAGTTGAGAGAGACAAATTTCAAACAAATATGATTCAGAGTGGTCTTCTCTATCAAGGAAAATGTGAAACAGGGCAAGAGATTGCTTCTCCATCCTCCTACGTAGGAATTCATTGGGTACGGGACAGGACTCAGTTTCTCCTTAAGAACAGTGCACCATACAAGATGACAGGACTTACAATTTGTTCATGATAGATCTTTCATGAATCAATTAGTATGTGCTATGAAAGGCACTGATAATCCATAGGACGGAGAACTGGGTATGTTTCTACATTGAATTGCAACATGAAAACTGCCCATTTGAACAAATAAATATGTGCCTCTGTTAATCTTCCATGCAAGCAAAAATATTGATCCCATGTTCCTGCTCATCAACCACTTCTTTAATATATTCTTAAATACTGACATGATCACCGTTTTAATCACTGAATCTGGCTTCGTATTTCATCAAGTAAAATAAAAATATCGGCAACATTCTCATGATGTCTCCACTTTTTTTTGTGAGACGTTCCTTCATCCTGTAATAATCCCGGGTCACATGATAATTGGATTCTTGATTACAAGATCACTAGATTCTGACAAGTTAAACTCCGGCTGTATTTCTTATTGAGATGAAAAGGTAAGTGAATGATATAGTGTCAGGTTCTAACCTGTACATTGGCAACTGGTCTGAGTCGAGATAGATAATAGGGCAGAATTCACGAAAGGGGAAGCGAGCAAAGGTCTCTATGAATAGATTTTATTTTCTGTTTAGTAATAAGAAAATACAACTCTGAAATGTTCTTCATGAGGCAATGATTTGGCAAGCTGAAAGGGACTAAATCCTAAAAGTGCTGTGAACACCTTAGGCATCCTAAAGAACTGAGTATTTGTACGAACAGGACCAGACCATGGATTAGATGCATTGGTCTGTCAATTGAAAAGGTACTCTGGAAAGCTATGTCATCAGGACTGTCATGACTTGAGTGACAAAGGGTTCATGGCAATGTTCCTGTTCACTTAACTGTATCCAGAGACCCTGGATAGAATATAGCTGCTGGGTGAAAGCAATTGAGAATGGCCAAATCCAATATATGGGTTAAATGAGAGATCGTCTGTATGGGAGGATGTATTAGAGAACTTTGGAAATGCACGTGTTGACACATAGGTGCAGGGAGTGATGGGGGTACTTAGGTTCTGTATAAACTATTTAAAGTGAAATTTACCTTTGAAATTTAAATATCCCTTTTGTTAATTGATATTTAAATTAATACCATTTTGGTTTGGTTGTTACAGTAAAAATTTGAATAAGTGATACCTTGTCTTTATGCTATTTCTGTTGTTTCACAGTGATTCCTTTCTTTTCAAAAGTTATATCTTTGGAGATCATTATGCTGTACCAAATTATTCCATTATATTAGTTCAGTACACTTGTATTAGACTTTTCAATCAATGGAAATAGTTCTGGTTCTGCATATTCTGCATTATACTTTCATATTTGTACACTGACTGGTATCTCACCAGTTCTCAGCTCAGAAGTTGTCTGGACTTTGACTGAAGCCTCTATTCCTTTCCTTTAGGGAGATGTCTGTCATTTGAATTGCCTCAAAACCTATGCCACTGGGCCTCCTGTAAAAGCTGCGAGTGTGTGTCTGTTGACATGAATCCTTTAGCTGACATGATTAAATTAGTGCACATTCATGTCACTTACTTCTTGCACTTGTGCAGTATTCCGGCAACAATCTCGTGTCTGCTGCATCTTTTTTCACCCACATCGCTGCAATGTCTTTCATTGGGCTCCTCACTGCAACAAATGTCAGAAATAATTTCATAAGTTAAAGAAACCCAGAGAAGAGGACTATCATTAACTCCTTGCCCATCCACTGATTTTCTGGATGAAATCTTGTTGTGGCGTTGGGTATCACATCTGCCAGCCAGAGAGACCCTACTACTTCTTTTCAGGAAGATCGACTAAATGACCTGTTAATCAAGCACTGGTGAGGGCATCTGTGGGTCTTCACCTAGAATCAAAGCCTCAGCCAGTCAGGGGGCCAAACCTTCCACCCTTGCTGGTGCCACACTTGTTTACAGGAAGGACATGTTATAATTGGCTAACAGCTCCTGTGGTTTGGTAGAACCACTGAACAGGCCATGGCTGCAGCTGGAAGGACATTCTCCGAAGTCTAGAATCTTGGAGGACCAGACCAAGGTAAGTAATATTTATTTTTTTCAGGGAGTGGGGGGAGGATTTCTTTGTGGGTGGTGGCAGGGGGTGGGGATAGTATTCTGCAGGACGAAGGCTGCAAGGAGTTGAGTGCAGGGTGTATATAAGTAAAGAGAGGAGCATGGCTTTTAGCAAGAATACCCTCTTCCCGATTTCCAGTCTCTCATTAAGGCATTGACTGCCTTTTTAATCAAGGGAACATGAATAACCCTCAATGTAATGAGTGGTAATGAGTGGCCCCCACAGCTTCAGTGCAACCCTTCTGCAGCTGGGTTACTACCGGCAGTGATGGGATGAAGCCTTTAACCGACTATTAATTCCACTGGGTCTCAATTGGTGACAGAGGTGAGGGTCAGGTATGCTAACATTCTACCCAAGTACATCAGAGATAGTAGGAACTGCCGATGCTGGAGTCTGAGATAACAAGGTGTGGAGCTGGAAGAACACAGCAGGCCAAGCAGCATCAGAGGAGCAGGAAGGCTGACGTTTCGGGTCTGGACCCTTCTTCAGAAATGGGGGAGGGGAAGGGGTCTCTGAAATATATAAAGATGGGGTGGGCGGTGATAGAAGGTGGATAGTGGAGCAGATAGATGGAGAGAAGACGGACAAGTCAAGGAGGCGGGGATGGGGGACGGGCTGGTCTTGGGAGGAGGTCGGGGGGTGGGGAGATTTTGAAGCTGGTAAAGTCCACATTGAGACCATTGGGTTGTGGGCTTCCAACGTGAAATATGAAGTGCTGTTACTCCAGTCTCTGGGTGGCAAAATTGTGACACTGGAGGAGGCCCAGGATAGACGTGTCGTCCAGGGAGTGGGAGGGGGAGTTGAAGTGGTTCGCGACTGGGAGGTGTTGTTGTTTGCTGCGAATAGAGCGTAGGTGTTCCACAAAGTGGTCTCCGAGCCTCCGCTTGGTCTCACAGATGTAGAGGAGGCCACATCGGGAACAGTGGATATCTGGCCCCATGACGAAGTATATATTTCCCTCCCCACCCTTATCTGCCTTCCGGAGGGACCACTCTCTCCACAACTCCCTTGTCCACTCCACACTCCCCACTAGTCCCACCACCCCCGGCACCTTTCCCTGTAACCGCAGGAAGTGCTACACCTGCCCCTACACCTCCCCCGTCACCTCCAACCCAGGCCCCAAAAAAACCTTCCACATTAAACAGATGTTCACCTGCACATCCGCTAATG